CAGAGTTGGAAGAGGAAGTAGAGTTGAATGAAGAAGCAGAGTTGGAAGAGGAAGTAGAGTTGAATGAAGAAGCAGAGTTGGAAGAGGAAGTAGAGTTGAATGAAGAAGCAGAGCTGGAAGAGGAAGAGGAGTTGAATGAAGAAACAGAGTTGGAAGAAGAAGTGGAGTCGGAAGAGGAGGTAGAAGGTGAGTTCCCACTTGTTTACCTCTGTCGGTTGGATAATTATAATTACACGTATGCAAAAATTTTTGTAGGTTATAACAAAAAGCAAGTAGATTTGGTTCTAAAGCATGACGCATTAGATAATGTAGAAAAAATTTTGTCTAACTTTTGTCACCTGTTATCGCAATGGTTTCAAAAGATTTACTCTAAATTCCTATCATTTCATTAATGATATCTTTTCAGGGGGTCAAAAAAAATAATCCGCAACAATCCATCTTCATGTTAAAATCTATTGCGAATCCGAAAAGCGTAGAGACCGTGAAAGATGACATCAATAGCGTTGACAATGGTAAGTATTAGGTCTCCATTCAATGTTCGCTAACCTTCTCTAATGCTTTGAGGCACTATTTGAAATAGAACCAGTTCAACATAAATTGGATGAGGCTTCCGATGCTAACATGGAAGAATGTGTTCCTAAGGGTATCCACGTAAATCCCACAGACTCTCAAGAGGTCTCATCACAGTCCTATGTTGACGCCATACATTCTCGAGAGGTTTTACCAGAACCCAACACGAGCACCACAACTTCTCATGAGGTTTCGTCGAACGTGACAAATTTCTTAAAATCGACTCCCGATTCAAACGTCGATTTCGAAGCAGAAGAAACATCACAAACACTTACATCAGCTAAATCTTTGAACTCACCACCGTTGGAACACGAATCTTCGATAATAAATAATCAAGATTCTACCGTTGACGAGGAATCAGATGCAGATGATCCAACATTGGAAAGGATGGCTAACCTGTTGAATTCAATGCTCACCGAGGCTATTGAGTGCGTGGAAACTCCCGTCAGAGGACGTGAGAAAAACCTATCTAAGCAATTTGACCAGAATAAAGTATCTGATTTCGATTTTTCAGAAATTAATGCCGCCCTTGATGAATACGAAGAAAGTTGCTACGATGATGAAGAAGAAAGTATTCTCGACGAAGAAGAAGAAGATTCATCAAGCGAATTCGGAGAAGATGATGAAAGAGGTAGAGATCTTAGAAGAGGGAATAAAACACCCAAAAGGCAAAGGTCAAAGAGCAGAAGTGAACAATTATTTGAATATAGCATGTCAGAATTTAATAGGAGTTTAACGGAGTTCACCACTTTCGTTGACGAAATGACAATGACGGATGACACAGTTAACGAGACAATGCACAAAGATCACTGGGATCCGGACGAGGGACCTTTGCGGTATCAGAATGAACACATTGAGGAGAACCTTGATGATTTTTCAAACCAGTGTTGTTCCCTAACTCGTGCCCTGATTATTCCATTTTTAAAGTTCACTAACATCTTTATGCCTGCATCTTTCCGAAAAGAAGAAATTGGCACAATCCGATCTCTTGTGTACATCATTTATTGGACTTTTTTGTTTACACTTGGTGTATTGGTATTAGATTCAACGTTATGTCAAATTTCCGGAAGACAAGTAATTCGTCTGCTAATAAGACTGGGACAACTATCGTTCCACAACCGACATTCGTACGACGTTATTTCCAAAGCCGCAACTCACCCTACACCAGGTCTTCCAGCGGAATATAGGAAAAACATGACTGGGTCTAATGAATTCGGATCATCCAATTCGTTTTACGATCAAATTAACTCCGAGGGTAAAGAAAAGGATTTTTTTTTTTTTTTCTAATCAAAGGTGCATTTAATATGTATATGCTGTTAATCTTATCGAATCAAAATATACGCAACAGATCTTAGGTATAGGACCCAGGTTTATCCATTTACCGTCAACGGTAATTATAAATTACAAGCTTAACTCGTTTCATCCCACTGATTGAAATCACTAAATAATTTTAATATGCAGATATCATACACATTCTCAAAGAATATGATGTTTGAAAGACTCTGGTTCAAAACATATTTTTACCTGCGCAAATGATGCTTGTATCATAAATGCTGGACATTTTACTTACAACAGGAACTGAAAATACATGCCTGTATAAATACTGTTATTCTTTTTTTTTTTTCAGGAAATATTTATATGGTAGTGTTTGTAAAAAAAATAATAAACGAAACTGTAAAAATAAATTTTGGGAGTCTGAAATACGTATTTTAATGACTGCTGATTATTTACATTAAAATATATATATATATATATTGTGTATGTTCAAAAGCGTGTGCAAGAAGTAACATCAACGTCACACGAATGAAAAATGCTATGGCATATGCTGCGGAATTAACTGCAGATGGTGACAGATTATGGACGTACGTGCTACCTCGGAAACCATCATAAGTCTCTATTTTTGACAGTCATCATTATCAACTTCAAATAATGACATCGAATAGTGGAAATCATCAAATCGATGCTTTAATCAAAGAAACCCATGAGAATTCCAACTCCTTGCGAAATATTCTCGAATGGATGCCATTTAAGTTCTTCAGAAACATCGAGTTCTTGGCTCAAGGAGGATTCGCGAGAATCGCTTTAGCCTCATATGATGACCACTATGAGAAATCTGCGAAAAAAAGGGTTTTACCCGAAAAGATCGTATTGAAATTTGTGAGAAATTCTTGCGAGGTCGATAAGCGATTAATCGATGAAGTAAGCTAGTTATTTGATTAATAATAATAATTATTTATTTATTTTAGTCCATTTATCATCATACTAATTTCCCATAGGTAAGAATGCATCATAAATGCATGTTATATTCTTCCAACATCATACCTTTCTATGGTTTAACTCAAGATCCTAATTCCCTGGATTATGCAATGGTAATTAAACATGCAATACACGGTGACCTACGGGACTTTCTCCATGATCGGTTTATCACTCAAACTTGGAAAGAAAAAATTAAGATTCTACTTG